GACCCTGAGGTGACCCACATCATCGGTAACCTACGGAAAGGGAAGGCACCTGGCGTTGATGGGATCACGGCCGAAATGGTACAAGTTCTGCACAAAGAACGTCCTGGCCGTATCACGTCTGTGCAACATAAACGTCCGTGCTCTATATCAGAGGTGTCTGCTCCTGGGTCACTTCCCAGTACAGTGGAAACAGGTGTGTGTTGTGTTTATTCACAAAAGTAGGCACCCAAAGAACGAACCAAAGTCATATAGACTGATAAGTCTCTTGCCAGTCCTAGGGAAAATTCTTGACAGAATCCTTAGAGACAAAGTGTATTACCACTTATAGCGGAAAGGGCTGTTACATCCACACCAATATATTTCCTACCCATAACACCTCGCTAAAACCTTTGTCTCTCCCCTTTTCAGTTTGGTCTACGATCTGAAGAGAAGTGTTATTTGCAACTCGTTTGGTCTACAATCTGAAGAGAAGTGTTATTTGTGACTTGGTAAGTATTTTCGACCGTTTTTAAAGTGCTACTTAGTTTTTTAAGGGTGTCACAGCCTGTAATAGGTCAAGTAGCTTAAGATCATTGGTATTTCAATAAGTAAAATAAATCGTGTAAGTATGTGCGGATCCCTGGTACTGACCGCCAAGGCCTTCGAAGAATGCATCATGGAAGCTTTGGGAGCAGTAGACACAAGCCAGAATCTGAAGGAGATTCGAGACAGTATTCAAAGCTAGAGAAGGCACAAGAAATGTTTATGTCCTTGTTTTCTAGCTACGAACAACTGGAACAGCAAAAATGCAGGGGAAGCTAGGACTAACTGCCTGTGCTTCAAGTCCCTCCGCCACCCCAACAAAGGAAAGATCATACACCTCAGTTCTAAAGCTAAGAATCCCACCACGTAACAAAATGGTTCTTGTGTACAACAAAGAAGAAAGGAAGACTTGGAGGCGACCATTAATTTAACGAAGCTGAAAGTGAAGGTCAAGTCCACCCGGCCCATCAAAGATGGAGTTCTTATAAATTGAAATACAAATGAAGGGGCCAGAAGGCTGGTTGAGTCCCTTAATAAGAGAGAGGACGTGCGAGTTAGGTCGCCGGGGCTTCGCAACCCCCGCATCATTGTGCCGAGAGTCCAATGGGACCTCGAGGAGGGTACTATACGGAATTTTGTAGAGAGCCAGCACACAAATATACTGGGTGAAATATCAAAGCACATATGTAGCATCTTTCACATTCGGTAAGAGTCAAATGGAAAAATACAAGGGTGATCTTAAAAAGAGCTCCGAATTTGTATAAAATACTTAAAAACAATAAAGGGTTAGTTAAAAAGAAGATAAGGCAGATGTGTATAAGATTTCCTACGAGAACCAGCTAATAGGTATAAATAAAAATTATGTAGGGGTTACTACTAGGAACCTAAAAATAAAAATCAAAGAACACAATTATGATATTAGAAAAGGTTCTAATACAACAGTACTAGCCCAAATGGCGCAAGCAGAAGGATCCTTGGTTTGATGGAATGAAGCAAAAATCATAAAACAGATACACTCCCCAACTTTGGCAAGAACAGCTGAAAAGATAGAAACTTACAGAAGCAAGCTAAAAGAAAAATGCATTAATGCAAGGGACGCAGAGGGTCTTCCTTCAGCTTGGAAATATGCCTTTAAAAACTTACAAGAGGCGCATGTACACTAGTATATTTTAAAGAAAATTATGTCTAGTTAGGATAGATAGTACAGGCATACCTCGAGTTACGTCGTTCCCGATTATACGTCGTTTGTCAAAAAAGTATATGGAAAAATAAAAATCAAGTTTAAGTCATTTTATTCAACTTTACATCTGTCTGCCACAAATATTGAAGTCTTAATATCACTAGATAAAATGTTGGAGTTTTAAAAATTAATATATCAAAATATGACTATGAAAACATCTTTATTCAACTAAAATCTGAAAATAAGCTATAAATTTGAAATGTTTCATTTCCACAAAAGATTAATGTTTTATGAAGAATTCCATTTTAAATATTTATTTGAGAATACAAGTTTGTCAGAATATAACTTATTTTGAAAAGAATCCACCACACCTTCCACTGCCATTGATACCACTGAAGACAAGTGCTTTTTCTCAAACTTGAAATTCCAGGTTTTAGAGCAGAAGATACTGTCATCCCAAAAAACTTTCCAATGTTGGCCTACTTCTGAAGTTATACACAACCTATCACCAATAAGAGGAATTAGGAATAAAATTAGAACAGAGGAAAATAAAAAATACAGTATATATTTTATAAAACAAATACTAGCCATTCAAATTCTCAATTGTTAGACACAAATTAACTAAATTAAAAAGATGTTTCAAATCTACATCATAATTAATTTTTAGAGATTAAATTTTAAATTAAAAACTATATAATTTAAAACGTAAAGAAATGACAAACAGAATTATCACAATTTAATTTTCANGAAAATATGTTTATTAAAAAATTCAATATTTGTTTTATATTATATTTATATTATATAATAAAATTGCGGCACAGAACTGCGATACAGAATGAAAAAGTACAGAACTGCAGCTCCCATGCATTTTGCAAAACCTACATTTTGGCTCCCACAGAACTCTTGCTTGCCCATTCCTGTTATACACCTCATGTGCTCGTGTTTGTTACACTTTGAATATAACAATTTTGCCACTTAAAATTATCTATAGCCACCAGTTTTATTTACTAATTAATACAGATGCTAGTAGCCTTATCAGTTTGGAGTCTGGAAAGCAAAAGTAATATGTTAAGCTATCTGAAAATTAGTATGAAGTAAAAATTTTATTTAATGACATATGAGTAAATCTAGAGACTTCATTTTTGCTAAATAGGAAATAACATCACATTTTTAAAATCTCTTTTATAAGCTTTAAATGTGAGAAATAACAATAGTAATAACAACACTAATGATATGATAAAATAATTTTGCTACACATTAAAAAAAAAGTGGAAAGGCACAAACCTACATCATGCAGTTCCTATGCCTAGAATCTTATCCACTCAGCTATATCTATTACAAGAAATAAATCTTCCAAAGACTTATAAACTACACACTCAATTTTTAGAAGCTCATTTTTTGAAAATGATTGAGAAGTGATCCTATTATTTGGAAAAGGCTCTGTTTGTGTTAAGGGCTATGTGCTTGCCAAGTTTCATTCAAATTGAAAAGAATGTCTAGCCATATCCTTATTAGTAAATATAGGTCAAAAACTCAATTGTGAGATAATAACAATTTTATATGCTAACTAACTGACTTCTTAATGGTTTCTAGATGTTACTGCAACATGGAAAGTGAATGATCTTGCTAAATCTTTACCATTATAGTTATAGATATGTTCCACATGTCCTTTTTCCAATTCCACATATGTTTGGTATCATCTTAGAGTTGTTAACACACTCAAATTTCTGATTTCTGTTAGATTATTTGTATCAGTAACAGTTGAGTTTTAACCTTCATTTATTAAGATTTTTTTTCTCAGCATGGGATGCAATATCTACCATATAAATGTTAAGTGTTTTTTTTCCAGATCCTGTGTAATGGGTGTCGAAAATAAAAATGTCATAAATTTATAGCCTTCATATTTAGAAATATAAATTTTTAACTTTTTTTAAGGATTTTATTTTAAAAATAAAGATATCTGATTGCAACCATAGAAAAAAGAATTGTTTTATGTTAATTATTCTGAATAGTTTTTATCATTACACCTTAAATCAGGGATCACTGAAAAATTAAAAAAATTTTGCCAGTTTTTATTTCTTTTTGCCACTTCAAATTATTTATAGCCACCAGTTTTATTTACTAATTAATGCAGATGCTAGTAGCCTTATCAGTTTGGAGTCTGGAAAGCAAAAGTAATATGTTAAGCTGTCACTTAGAAATAGTAATCATTTTTGAATAAATTTTTAATGAATAATTCCAAATAATTCATTTGATCACAATGTTAAAACAGTTATCAAACAGTCCACTGTAAAAAGATCAAAGTGAAAAAAATGACCCCAAAAACTTCCCCAAATTTTCTGTCAGTCAATAAAAAAAAAAAAGAAATACCCAATCTGGAAACACTAGATGGCATTGCCAAAAAACTGCTGTCAGTTCTCAACCTCACTTCCTACCTTCCTGCCCAAACTTGCTGCATGACATCATGAAAACACTAGGTATAGGTATATAGTGCACAGGAGCTCAACATTCTGAAGTGTGCTTTGTGATTGAATTTCACACTGAATGCTGAAATATGCAGATTAGGGTTATCATCACCATTTTAATAAAAATATCACCAAGTGGCGGTTTCAATGCTATGCAGTGCAACCCTTGCTTAATTTAAATATTAACTAGATTGTATTATTGTAATAAAATTGATCAAAATTATTTTCTAATAGCAAACAAACATTTAAATCTTTATTTTTGGAAAAATTTTTATATTTCAAATGAATTTTAAATTCATAGTTTAATGATAAATGTATATCTAAATATATATATATATATATATT